CCCAGGAGGCCCTGCAGCTTCTGGGGAGGGGCTGGGTCCTTCCAGGTGAACCTGACCGGCCATCACTGGGCCCTCTGGTGCTGCTGGGAGGGTGATGTCTGAGGGCGCTGAAGCCCACATGTGTGCTGGTTGGCAAAAGGGACCAGGTGGCCCCTAGTGGGCAGGGCCTGCAGGGTGGAGTCCTGGACATCCTTCTGCTGCGGCGTCCTCACGTCCAAACAGGAGAACTAACACCACCACTGAGGTGTGTTGTGAGGACTGACTTTGCGGCGCCAGAACACACCAGGGCGGTCAGGTCAGCATCGCAGCTGTTGTCGCTCCTTTCAAGTCAGACACTGGAGTCTCGCTGTCCCGCTCCTCCCCTGCCAGAGCCCTCCCACTGCTTTTCCAGGAAGGCACACTTTGGGACAGTTATTCCTAGCAGCTTAATGCTGTTTTCCTAGGTGCTTGGGAGTGATGGGAACGGAGGACACTGGACAGTGTGTTCCTGGCTCAGAAGGGCAGCTTCCAGTCCTCAGCTGCTGACAAGTGTTGTTACCTAGCCAAAGCCTGCTTGGTGTACTTGAAAGTAGCATTTCAGAGCCTGGTTTGTTACCTACACTTGCATTTCCTAAGTGCTGGCCATTCTTCTGGGCCACTCACTTTTCTTCTCACCCAATTCCCTGTGCAGTCCATGTTATTTCAGTCCACAGCTTCAGATTGCAAGCTGAGGCAGAGGGTACGTTACTTGCCTGACGTTGCACAGCAGCAGACTCCACTGGATACAACCTGAGCACCTTGGTCTACAGTTTTACAAACATTTTAGGCTCAGTTTAAGGCAAATTGCAAAACCGCTGAACCTGCGGTGTCCTGCGGGCCACCAGTTCTTCATCTACTAGTCGATAAAGGAAGGTTTGGTGAAAGAAAGCCGAGGGAGGCGACACCCATGATGTGGGCTGTAGGGAGAGCCAGGAGGCTACAGTCTGAGCAGAGGCCCTGAGCACCCGGCTCTGCGCTGCGGAAACAGCCTCGGCCCCGGGAGCCTCGAGGGAGCGCAGGGCAGGACCCGCTCATGGCCACGGTGTCTCTTCTCCCTTAGTACTTCATCCCGTGCTCGCTACTGCCGGAGCTCCCCCCGGTGTCCTTCCTCCTGGGGGAGGTCTGGTTCAACCTCACGGCGGAGGAGTATGTCATCCAGGTAGGGAGCAGCCGCTGCCAGCAGAGCCCCACAGTGCAGCAGCCAGGGCGGCGGGTGCCCCTCCCTGGGTGGGAGGGGGTCACACATCTCTCCAGAGCCCGGGCAGAGCCTGGATCTCTGGCTCCCAGGCGCAAGGGGCCGGTGGGCGTGACACCCAGTGGGCTGTCGTGTGTATTTGCAGATATCTCGGAGTGGTGTCCGCCTCTGTATGTCCGGCTTCCAGGCTCTGGACGTGCCTCCGCCGGCGGGGCCCCTCTGGATCCTGGGCGACGTCTTCTTGGGCACCTACGTGGCCGTCTTCGACCGCGGGGACGCGAAGGGCGGCGCCCGGGTGGGACTGGCGCGAGCTCGCCGTTCCCCAGCCCGAGCGCCAGAGAGTGGCCTTGCGCAGGCGCAGTCCTCTGGTTGAAATCCTGGTAGGCGCATGCGCTCTGGGTGGCAGCAGTGCCCCCCCCTCCCGCCCCGCCCCCCCTACTAGTAAAAATCTGCTCTTCCCATTGAACATATCTAGGTCGTTTTTGTTTTTTTGTGTTTTTTAACGCGCACGTTTTTTGGTGAGAAAGTTTCTGTCCGTATATCTGGAGTTCGGAGGAGCTGGAGGCAAAGGTTATCACTTTTTCTGCACGGCTCGAGGAGGTTGTACTACCAATCCCGTGAAGCTCTCGCCGGTGCTGCCGGTCGTCAAAGGCCCCGGTTCCGCGGAGCATCACGGACGTTGTAGTCCAGGCTGCGTTCACGCCCTGCTGGGGGCGGGCGTAGCCACAACACGCGTGGGAGGCGACAGGTCGCGACGCCAGCGACAGGTGGCTGTGGGGGTGGCTGAAATCGTAAAGTGTTTTCCAAGCCGTGTTCTAACGGAATAGGATATAATCCCTGCACACCTCGGCTGGCGGTCTTCCTCATCCCCTGGGATTTCTGGACCCCTGGGTCGGCCATAAAGGCGGGGCTTGAAGCCCCCGGGTAGGGGGGAGCTGTACTGCCCCTCCTCCGGCGATGATGTCACTCCCCCCTCTTCAGCCTCCTGCTGCCCAGAGCTGCTGGGGCTGGGACACCCCTCCCCCCTGCCGCCAGCCCCGGATCCCCCAGCCCCGCCCCGCTTCGACTTGGGGTGAGTACGGGGGGAGGGGGAGAAGGCTCAGGGTCCGGGGGTGGTAAAACCGCCTAGATTTCAATTTGGGGGTGGGAGATTCAGTAGATAGGGACCCAAAGATTACAGCGGAGGGACCCCCTCAATAGCGAGCTTTGGGGGGGGGCAACAGTGATCAAGGTATTTGGGGGCTCATGGCAAAGACTGTAGGCAGAGTCTCCTATTTTTACCTTTCATGTCTGGGAGACGCTTTTCTTGGACAGGAGTCTAACAACAATGGGGTTGAAGAAGGAGGAAGGGGTCGCAGACATCAGGAGGAAGCCCCTTCCCCAATTCCAGGGCTTTGGGGTTGGAAGATGGAGAATTGGGCATGGATGCAGGCAAGGATGGCGGTGGGAGTTTGGAGCTTTCAGGAATCTTGTGGCTTGAGGCCCTGGGAAAGGACAGACTGGGCAAGAGGAGGGTGGAGAAAGGGTTTGGAAACGTGGGCCGAGGCTGGCTTCTTCCTCCTGCTGTCCCTGGCAGAGAGTCAAGTGTACCTCTCTCTAGTCTGTTTGCAGAGCTGGGCGTTCTGTAACCTTGTCCCCTCTGTCCCCCATGAGTGGAGAATTCAGGTTCACAAATCTCTCACATTCCCTAGTGGGGTCTGGAAGGACCAGGAGCGAGTGATGGCACCCAAATTTCCCGGGACCAGCCCCACTCCCATTACCCTGCCTCCACCCTCCTCCCCAGGTCTCCAATCCTGAGTACCCACAGTACCCACTCTTCCAACCTCCTCCCCCCGCAGCCCCCACTTTTGCTCATACCTTTTGACCTCTGCAACAAATGCTGATGTGGTAATTTGATCCCCTGCTTGGCTGTTGTCAAAAGCACCCGAGAAAAGCAGAATGGAGGTGGGGGTGGAGGACATAAGGGAGGACAGTTGTCCCTTTACCTTATCCCCTTCCCTGGACCCGTGCCACCCAATTCCTGCTGTAGCCTCCATCCAAACCCGGACTTGTCCAGAAGCCTTAACAACCTAAGCCCTCACCTTCTTCCTCCTGCTGTCCCTGGCAGACAATCAAATGTGCCTCTCCCTAGTCTGTTTGCAGAGCTGGGCATTCTGTAACCTTGTCCCTCTGTCCCCCATGAGTGGAGAATTCAGGTTCACAAATCTCTCACATTCCCTAGTGGGGTCTGGAAGGACCACGAGCAAGTGATGGCACCCAAATTTCCTGCTTCTGTCTGGGGATACTCCAGAATTGGGAAAGAGAGGAGGATGAAGTCCTGATATCTTTTCTCTGCCCTGCTGGGGCCCATCTGGGGCTTATGGACAGCAGGGGATACTGGATCCGGAGGTGGGGGGAGCCTGGGCCTGGGCAAAGAGGGTTACTACTTTCCTGGTCTGCAGGACAGGACCCACTTCTGCAACTCTCTGCAGTGACGCAGCCTCCAGCCCTGGCCAGGATGAGGGCTAGAGGGGTGAGGTGGGGTGTGGGGAGCCTGAAAGGAAGGAAGAGTGATTCAGAGAGGGACAGAAACCTAAGGACAGAGAGAAGGTCCCAGAGAAGTGGGGGCAGAGACCTCGAAAGAGGAACACAGACTACTTAGAAGTGGGTGGAAAAGACTGGGGGGATAGAGACCACGAAGGGACAGAGAAAGAGAAAGGGCAGAAAGAGAAAAGGCTGAGACAAAGTGGGGGAAGACCCCCAGATGGATGGGCAGAGACCCAGAGAGAGCAAGTTGCGGACGCTGGGGGTGGGGTAGAGGACAGAAAGAGTGGGGACAGCGATCTACCGGGACTGACCGGGGCTGAGACCACAGAGAGGGGCTGAGACCGAGAGCCCAGAGAAAAACACTGGGGCAGAAAAAGAGTGGGGTGGGGGGAATGGAGGCTTAGAGGGAAGAGGAGCAAGATTCAAAAGGGGCACAGATTCAGAGGGCAATGGGACAGACCCAGCAAGAGGGGAGTCTTTGTAAAGAGGGGCCAGGATCTCAGGGTGAAGGCAGAGACGGGGGTGGGGGTGGGGGGAGGTCGAGTCCTCCGAAATACAACGTAGAAAAAGAGACGTCAGGAGAGACAGTCGGGATCAGGGAGCGAGGGACGGGGGGGGAGGTGCCCATACTAACCCGCCGCCGCACCTGCAGAGGGAGGCGTCGGGCCAGGGAAGGTGCCGGGCCAGGACGCCCGCAGCCCCTGACCCGCCCCCTTCGCTCCCACAGGCACCGCCTCCTCCCGCCGCAGCCCAAGCCGCAGCCGCTGGCCCCGCCCCAGCCCGGCGCCTGCGCCCAGCGTCCCGGCGGCTAGGCCAGCCTCGGGGGCGGGGCCGGACCCGCTCCGGCCCTGTCCGCCAGGTTATGGCCCCGCCCCTCTGTTAGCCACGCCCCTCAGCCAACGGTCTCCTCCCATTGGTCGACTCTGAAACCCAATCCCGCCCCATTTCCCATTGGTCCGACCTCGCTTCACCTGGACGGCGCTTGGGCTTTCACCTCACCCATCCTCATCCATCCGTCGGTCCTCAGGCCTGCAGTTCCCTGTTATTTTGGCCTCGTCCCCTTTCTCTCGCCAATGGGAAGTGCTCGCACTGCCCTCTAAGACCCCGCTGACCCTTCTGGCTCTCTCGCAGATGGGACCGCTTCAGGTCCCATCCATCCTCCCAGTCCAATAGCTTTGAACTCTGCAGGTGTCACCTTTCCCTTATAGGCTCCGTCTCTCGTTCTTCCACCCTTTCCTAAACCTGCCCCTCTCCCGCCCCGTTTGGCTGCTTTCTAGCCCGCCGCTGCCTTAGTTTTGCCTTCCCACCGCCCATTCAAAACATTTTCTAGAATTCGTGGCCCTCACCCACCTGCCTCAGTCCCGGCCAATGCAGTCTCGGTCTCACGTCCAAGGTGGGTCCGCCCAGGGCTTCGGCCCCGTTCTTTCTCTACCTAACCCGCACTCCTAGTCCTCCGCAGACGCTCCCAAACTTCCAGGCCTGCCACCTCGCCCGTTTCCCTAGGTCTCGGTCTCACCTTCAACGCGTTCCCTTTCTATCCAGTCTAGTGCCATTTCGCGCGAAAAGTCCTGGAAATTCTCATTTCCAGTTCCCGCCCCTCGACCAGCCCCGGCTCGTCGCGCTCCGGCCCAATCGGGGCTGCTTCTACTTCTTCGGGCCCCGCCTGTTTGTGAGGTCCGCCCCTCCTCTTCTAAACTGCGTTAAGAGCTCAACCCCACTGTTTTCATCTGCCCCTCCGCATCAGACTCTGCTTGCCCGCGCCTTAGGTCCGGGTCAGAGATCTTTCTGTGTCTGATCAAGGACAGCGCCCCTCTATTGTGGCCCCAGCCCTCCCTCCTCCCGTCACGGTCGGTCGATCCGCGTTAAATAGCTTAGACTCCATTGAGCGCAATCAGATCTTCTCAGATGTAGCCCCGCCTCCTCCAATCTCCTAGTGCTACCACGCCAGTGGCTTGGTAAATTAGTGGCTCGTCCCGCCTCCTTTAACAACTATTCGGCCCCGCCCCTAATGTCGAAAACAGCCAATCGGTGAGTTTTATCCGTAGCCCCGCCCCATCCAGAGAGGCCGGTCCCAGCCCCTCTCCGCGCTTCAACCCCGCCCCGAATCCCCCGCTACCAATCAGTTCAGCCCGCCTCCACCGCGGCCCCGCCTTTCCCCTCCGTCTCCTCCTTCCGCCCAATCGCGCCTGGCTCTGCCCTTCGGCCCCGCCCCTCGACACCCCGCCCCTAAAGCCCCGCCCCCCGTCCAATGCTGAGCTCAGTCTGCGTCTCGTCCTTCCGCGGGCGCCAGGGGGCCAGCAAGCAGCAGTCGGCGCCG